ATTCGGTATTTTTGACGAGTTTAGGTACAATACCCACCGAAATTGTTTGAGATGTGGTATTTGAAGTTCGTAATGGGAACTACAGTCTGTGACAGAAAATTGTCTATGCAGGTCCAGTTCTTCGTATAGGCCCCATATATCAGTACCTCCCTATATTCGGTATTTTGACGAATTTAGGTACAATACCCACCGAAATTGTTTGAGATGTCGTATTTGACGTTTGTAATGGATGCTAAAGCCTGTGACAGAAAATTGTCTATGCAGGTCCAGGTCTTCGCACAGCTCCGATATAACGGTACCTTCCTATATACGATATTTTGATGATTTATTGACCGTTTATTTCAAGTTTCGAATTTGAATATGGTAATGGCTTATGACAAACAATGCCTATGTAAGTCCACTTCGTATAGACCCTATATTCGGTATTTTTAAAATTTTAAGAGATTTTTTTAAGGATTTTAGTTTTTAAAAATTTCCAAATTCGTTCCAAATGGTGGAGGGTATTCAAAGTTTGGCCCGGCCGAACTTACTGCTTTTTAACTTGTTGGTACTCAAAATACACAATTTATTCAGTTTGGCAGAATTTTTTTTAACAAAACTTCATACAACGTCCCAAAATTTTGCACATTGCAACAATGGACCCGCATCCAATTTGTCCGGCCAAATGTATTTTAACGTCTCCATTTGTAAACTTTAGAAACCAACAGTGACCCTATTATCAAATTTCAAGATTCAAGCTTTATCCACTCACTTAAGGGCAAAGTTAGTACCATTGAGTACTTTTCGAACAGTTACAGCCCGCATTGCCAAATCTACCTCCTTCTTTCAAAACTATTTACCAACAGTGGCCAGTAATTTTCGCACACATTTCGAAACCAACTGGGATTCCAATGACAAAACTTCAAAATTCCACCTCTATTCTATATCCAAATTTAGTACAATTTAGTACTTTTCGTACAATTAAAGTATACATTTCTAAAATCACCTCCCTATCTCAATTCCAGATACAAACAGAGACCTCAATATGAAATTTCGTGATTCCAGCTCTATCCCTTCCCCCAATACTCAATTTAGTATCACTTAGCATTTTTCGAACAATTATGGTACGCATTTTCAAGTTCTCTTCCATATGTCCAGACTGCACAGCGACTCTAATACCAAATTTCAGATTTCAAGCACTATCTACTTACCCAATACCAAATTTTACCAAAAATAGTACTATATAGTACGCATTTCCAAAAGATCCTACAAAAACCCAATCCTATATTCCATTCGTAATCTTAATTTCAAGTTTCAGGATTACAGCTCTATGGGTTCGCCCAAAATAGAAATTGTACCATACATTGTATATTCTAGTACACTTAAGAACAATTTTTATAACTACTTACACCATAGAGTCCAATAGAAATCATATTTTCAAATTTCAGGATTCCTACTCAACCGGTTCACACAAAATTCAGCTCGTCTATAATGTACTGGTTATTCTCAGTTTATACCTGATTTCAGCTTATCCATATTACACTTAGGGCCTTCAGTTCATCCACATAAGACTACATTACGCTCGTCTATAATGGCTCATATCAGCTCGACTATAAATACTTCCCCAGCTCGTTTAGGTGGTCTCGTTATAACTTGGCTCTTTTTATCTCTTCCTCTATCTCTTTCTCTCTCTCTCTCGCTCTCTCTATTTGCCTCCTCTAAATAAAGTTTCATTCAACTTATTTACGGAGTGACTCCTTTGACAACAAGAACATCAATCACTGGCGGCTTCATGGCCAAAAATCGTTTGCCATAGTAAGCGCTCAAACTAACTCAGCAGCAATCAGTGGCGCACAATAAGCGCCAATTAGAATTATGAAAACAAGATTTTAATTCAATTGGTTAAGGCATAATCGGATTTTGAGTAGACTTCTTTCTAATCAATGTTTGCCAAATTCAATGTCACAAAATGTTTCAGTGACGCTGAGATTATTGACAACATCGACCAGGGGTTTATAACGGAGCACTGGGAAAGAGAGGACAGAGTTTAGAAAATTATTTAAATTATATAACTATATATATAAAGGAGTGGTAAAATAAATGACTAACCGAGAATCAACAAAACGGCCGAAGTTACAATCTTGAAATTTTGCACGAGGGTCAGTCTTGGTAGAATTTAGTACTAACATGGTACGAAAAGTATTAGAATGTACTAAAAAAAGAATGCTTTGTGTTTTTGTGATATTTCGCACAAGGGTCAGTCCTGGTGGAAATTCGTACTAAAACAGTTCGAAAAGTATTAAAATGTACTAAAAATGTAATGCTTTGTATTGGACAAACGGCCTTAACTATGAACTGAAATTTGGAATGAGGATCACTGATGGAGTGTGCGATAGATGTACCAAAGAGTTTTTGGAAATTAGCACTATAACTGTAAGAGAAGTACTAAAATGTACTACATTTGGTATAATTTCGTAACATGTGAACGGTTAGTACTAAAAATTTAAAAATTTTGAATGGTAATCATGGTCGATGTAAGGAGGTAGATTTGGAAGTGTGTACTCATGTAGACGAAAAGTACTGAGTGGTACTAAATTTAGTACATTTTGAATTTGAAGGAACGGATGGAGCTGGAATCCTCAAATTTGAAATTAACATTACTGGCGAAGTGTAGGATTGGGATATGGAGGAAGTTTTTAAAATTTGTACTTATTTTCACGAAAAGTACTAAATTTGGTACAATTTCAATTTGGATGAACCAGTAGAGCTGGAATTTTGAAATTTAGTAATAAGATTACTATACCATTCTAGGACTGTAGGTGGTTTTGGAAATTCGTGTACTAAATGGTACTAAATTTCGTACAATTTAAATTTTGGGAGAACCAATTGAGTTGAAATTCTGAAATTTAGAAATAAGATTGCTATTGCTTTCTAGGACTGAGGAATGTAGGTAGTTTTGGAAATTCGTAATTATGTGTACTAAATGGTACTAAATTTGACACAATTTTATGTTTGGGTGAACCGGTAGAGTTGGAATCCTGAAATTTGGAAATATAATTACTATTGCATTGTAAGTCTAAGGTATGTAGGTAGTTTTGGAAATTCGTATTTATGTGTACTAAATGGTACTATAATTGGTGCAATTTTAATTTTGGAAAAACAAATTGAGTTGGAATTCTGAAATTTAAAAATAAGATTACAATTGCATTCTAAGTCTGAGGTATGTAGGTAGTTTTAGAAATTCGTACTTATGTGTACTTAATGTTACTCAATTTGGTACAATTGAAATTTTTGGGAGAACCAAAAGAGTTGGAATCCTGAAATTTGGAAATATGTAAAATGACTATTGCATTGTAGGACTGTGAATAATGTAGCTAAAATCATAAAAATATCGTATATAGGGAGGTACCGTTATATCGGAGCTGTGTGAAGACCTGGACCTGCATAGACAATTTTCAACCAGAGGCTGTAGCATCCATTACGAACTTAAAATACCACTTCTCAAACAATTTCGGTGGGTATTGTACCTAAACACTTCAAAAATAACGAATATAGGGAGGTACTGATATATGGGGCCTATACGAAGACCTGGACCTGCATAGACAATTTTCTGTCACAGATTTTAGTTCCCATTACGAATTTCAAATACCGAATTTGAAACAATTCCGGTGAATAATATCGCTAAAATCATCAAAATACCGAATATAGGGAGGTACTGATATATGGGGCCTATACGAAGATGTGAACCTACACAGACAATTTTCTGTCTTAGGCTATAGTATCTATTTCGAACTTCAAATACTAAATTTGAAACAATTCCGTTGAATAATGTAGCTAAAATCATCAAAATACCGAATATAGGGAGGTACGGTTTTATGGGGGCTATACGAAGACGTGAACCTTATCAGATAATTTTCTGTTTTAGACTGTAGTATCCATTTCAAATATCAAATTTGAAATAATTTCGGTGAATAAATTCGCTAAAATCGTCAAAATACCGAACATCGGGAGGTACTGATATATGGGGCCCATACGAAGACCTGGACCATGCATAGACAATTTTCTGTCACAGACTGTAGTTCACATTACGAACTTCAAATACCAACTTTGAAACAATTCCGTTCAATAATGACGCTAAAATCATCAAAATACCGAATACTGGGAGGTACGGTTATATGGGGCTATACGAAGACGTAGACCTGCACTGACAATTTTCTGTCATAGGCTATAGTATCCATTTCGAACTTCAAATACCAAATTTGAAACAATTCCGGTTAATAATGTCGCTAAAATCGTCAAAATACCGAATATTGGGAGGTACCGTCATATGGGAGCTATATGAAAACGTGGACCTACATGGCCCATTTACGAACCTAACCTGCCAACTGGAAAAATAAACATGTGTGCAAAATTTTAGCTTTCTATCTCAATTCGTTCGAAATATAACGTGAAGGGTATAAACATTTGGAAAGGGGTATACCTTAACCCCTCTGTTTAGGTATCTTTGCAATGTAAACTTTTAAAACACCGATACAAGTGTCTTCCATGCTTTAGCTCTGCTTTCAAAATATACTTGGATTTTCCCAAACAAAAACTTACTCAAGAACATCCCAAAGATTCGATATAGGTACTTCGGATATACCCGAAACTCTATATCTTTAAATTTCCTAACGGTTTTTTTTATAAAAATTTAACCCCTTCATACCCTTTGCCAGGAAATTCTCAAAAAATGTCACACATTTAAATTAAAAATTTCCTAACTGCTTTTTTGGCCAACAAATGCAACCCTTCTTATCCTTCCAAATGTGTATCTACACCCAGCCAAAAAAGGAAACCCTATAACGAACGAGTAACGAAACTTAACGAACTTTTGGCCCACTCAACGAAACTCTCCACCGCAAAAAAAACGAGACGGCGACTGCGCATAGCAATTCCAACTGGTGGGTCAGATGATGACAGTTGTATTGGGACTTGTAAACAAAACAACACTGGCACTTTCAACCCCGTTCCGTTCCGTTTGTCAAAGTCATATCCAGCAACAATAACACATACACACACAGACGAACAGACGGACAAAGAAAGGCCTAATACCCGTAATGTTGTCAGCTAGCCAGCCTTTCTCTTAGGGGCTGAACCACTTTTTCGCATTCGAAACCAATAACAAAAACAACAACAACGACGACGACAACTGAGAAGACGACTTCAACGAAAAAAGTCAGAACAGCAGGAAATTATCGATTTTCGCATGAGCGAGTTGAGAAATTCAGCAGCAGCAGTAGTTGAGGAGAGTTTCTAAAAGACGACGACAACGACGACGACGAAGAAAAAAATCGGAACAGAAAACTTTTAAGTTTTTTTTGCTTGGGTTTGTTGAGTCAAAGTTTTTTCCGTTTTCGGTTGCTGGTCGATTTTCACAAATCCAATTGAAATGATTTTGAGATTAGAATAGCAGCAGCGCCGTCGTTTCGTGTGAAATACCAAAAAAATCGAACCAAAGAAATAAATATTTCAGGTGTTCGGGCCATTTGTGTATCCATCCACAACACAGCAAAGGCAGGCAGGCAGGCGAGAACGAAAAAAAAACGCAGAAATAGCCCAACAACACCAACACAATGGCCGACACTGAATTCGAGGAATTCCATCGACCAATCTTCGAGACCCATACAATACCCTATGCCAGCAGTGCTGTGAGTGGAGTCAAGAAGTCAAATCCGCATACATTTTATTCGTAAGTTGAGATTTCAGGTTGACTACAATTTGAAGAAGAAAAAAAGAAAACCCCAGGAAGAAGAAGAAGCATAAGGACATGGTATGTCCTGCATGCATATGGAGGCTCGTGTGAAAAATTTGTGGAGAGACAAAAGACTAAAAAAAATCAATGAACCAACAAAACAGAGTTGTTATTGTTGTGATGGTCGGACAAGGACGAGATGGGGTGTTTGGGGTTTTCTGCCATTCTTCAATTGTTGTTGTCCCATAAATTCGATTTTATTGCATGTTTCCGTTTTTTTCTTTTCCAGCCTTATACCCAATAATGACATCGAAGACTCGCCATCTTCGAAAAGTGATACCTCCGATCAGGAGGACAATATCGACAATTGCAATAACAACAAACTGAGTCGTCAAGTCGAAGATGATGATGGCCTCAAGGTGGTCTCATTATCCTCAGATGGCTCATTGGACACAAATGATTCCTTTAACTCCCATCACCATCATCCCCTCAATCATCAGGATGCCATTGGTGGGCTCGTGGGCATTGGGTCCAGCAATGCCCATCATCAGGCCAATAACGGCAGTGGTGGTGGCCAGACTCCATCGCATAACATGATTATAACTGGACTCAACAATCAACAGCAAAGACGTCGCAGGAAATTGCCGGAAATTCCCAAAAATAAAAAATGTGAGTTTCGCCCTCCGTGTATGTGTGTGTGTGTGAGTTTGAGAGTATGTAGTGTAGCGTTGTGTTTTTTGTAGTTATTTTCGAATTGTAAATCTAACTCCTTATGTCCAATCCAATCAGTAGTTTCCCAATTAGTTTCAACTATCTCCCGTTTTCTAGTTGGACTTAGCCAAACTTTCTTGTTTTAGAAGTTATATTCTTTCCAAATTCTTGTAGCTTGAAAACCCTGTTTCAATTCTCCCCAAGTTCTTTATTTTTTTAACAAATATTGAATTTCTCTACTAAACTATTCTTAAGTTTGTACTCTCAATTACATGAATATTCAATCGTAGTGTTTTCTGATACTGAAAATTTGTTTCGAGCAACATCTTTATCCTCCTGGACAAAAGAAAAAACATAAACCTTAACGCCAGATATACCCTTCGGGATTTTTGACTTTATGTCACAGATTTTTCAAAACATCGACACAAAAATTTGAACCTAAAATCAAATTTTCTGACCAAGAGTTCTGCTACTACATAGAGGTACATAGAGATTCCCAAATGCCAGATTTCACCCAGTTTCTTCAGTAAAACGGGGCTAGGCTAAAACGTGGTCATATATGAAAAAAAAAATCAAAGGTATTCTAACCTAAGAGTGCCCAAAATGCCGGTCAAATTGGTAAAAAATGAGACATTGAAAAATCGACCAATATCATAAAATGGAGGGTATATTCGGTTTCCGTATTTTTTTTTTCATAGGCTGTAGTACTTATCACGAGCTACAAATACCAAATTTGAAACATTTCCGATCTATAATGTCTCTAAAATCATAAAAATATCGAATATTTGGAGGTACCGTTATTACAGACAGACAGACGGACATCGCCAAATCGACTTAGAATTTTACGCTGAACAAGAATATACATATGTCGAGACTCGAATATTTCGAGGAGTTACAACCGGAATGACAAAGTTAATATACCCTCCGCAGTATGGTGTAAAGTATAAAAATAATATCGGTATAGCCCAAATGTGACGGAAAACTCATTAATTGATTTTGAGTACAGTCAATTTGGTCATAGGTCCAGTTTTTACGTGGTGGAGGGTATAAAAAACTCCGTCCAGCTGAACTCAATCTCTGTTTAAATTTAATGTAAGAGGGAACATTATGAGTGACATACGAATAATTTTTAACATTTTTGAAAAATGTTAAAGGATATATTGATAGTACTTCAATCCCTTGAATCAGGGACAGAGGAGTTTTAAAATTTGTTTCCAAGTCTTTAATAGACTATTCAAGACCTGTTATATCAGTCAAACTCTAGGGACTTTAATAGCGGATTTAGCAAAATATATTTTCAATCATTGTAATAGCAGCTTTTAAATAATATTCATATTTATCATTTATTTGATATTTTCAATCGCTTCCACGATCTGAACCAGTTCTTTAATGGAGAGTTTCAAAAAATCCAAAGACTTTAGTTATATTTTTAAGCATATTGTTGATCCACTGGCAGGACTTTAATCGTGGAACTTGAAAGATATTATCAACAATTATCAGGACTTGTGTCAGTACTTTGATCTTGAAAATTTGAATGTAAGTCAATGTTGGTATGCAGGGGTGGGGTAAGGCTGAGTTTCTTAAAATTCGAACCTTTAGAATACTAACCAATAAAAAGCTGTATATTTTGCCGGGCCAAACTTTGAATACCCTCCACCATTTGGAACGAATTGTGAAATTTTCAAAAAAATAAAATCCATTAAAAATTCCGTTAAAATCCGAATGTAGCTATTATATTAGGGTCTATACGACGACATGAACCTGCATAGGTAACAATTGTCATAAGCCATTACAATACTCAAATGCGAAACTTAAAAAAAAATCGGTTAAAATGTCGATAAAATCAAAATACCGAATATCGGGAGGTACCGTTGTAAGGGGGCTCTACGAAGACGTAGACCTGCACAGACAATTTTCTGTGTTAGGCTGTAGTATCCATTACGAACTTTAAATACCAAATTCGAAACAATTCCGGTTAATTAATTCGCTAAAATCATCAAAATACCGAATATGGGGAGGTAACGTTATATGGGGGCTCTGGGAAGACGTGGAGGTCCACAGACAATTTTCTGTCTGAGGCTGATTTGAAATAATTTGAGTATAATTTTATCAATATTCTTCAATTTGTTCGGAAGCTAGAGTGATTTCCAAAAACGGACAGGTGAATAGACGGAAATAGGTTGATATGGTACAAAAGTTAAATATGGATGTTGACATTTACAACAGAACGAGGACGTTCTACAAAATCCGTCGGTTTTCCGACAGATGTATACCCTCAGCCAATGTTCGATTATTTAAATATATTTTGACTTCTGTTATGATTGTTTAAATTGTTGACCCTCTAGGGGGGGGAGGTTCCAAAGGAATGGGCCAATGTTGACCATTTACCAGAAGTAGAGGACCGATATATACCATTTTCACACCAAACCTTGGGTTAATAAAAATATTGTGATGTGTGTTATTTGAAGACAATCGGACACTTACATCACATTTTACGAGAATTATAATTATTCAAATTTTGACCCTTTGAGGGAGGTAGTTGATGGAGTAGACCGATATTGTCCATATTGACCTAGCACTGATACAAATATTATGATTTGCAAAGTTGGAGCAAAATCTGTTCTTCCTTCCTCTTTCTGTGCAGTAAAGCGTTTTTTTTTTTTTTTTTTTTTTTGAAAATTTCGATGTTGGGGATGTACCAGATGGAGTGGACCAACATTAACCATCTCCGAACCCGATCTAAGTTTTATAATAATATTACGCTGTACCAAGATTGGACCAAATCGGATATTAACTTTGAGAGTTATCGTGCGCACCGGCCAGACAGACAGACGGACATCGCTAGATCGACTCCAAATGTCCTGAAACCGATTTTTCCAAATATGCCTAGGTTCTATTTTTTTTTTCGACCTGTGTACATGGTCGACCCCACTTACTGTAGTCTTTACAATTTTGTATTTTTGAATACATGCTGGTTCTCAATTGTCGAGAAACCTCTCACCCCTAATAGGAGAAATCTACATACAATCTCGGATATATAAGGAAGCCTCTTAGGTCTGATTCCACAAATGTTTTGGTAAAATACACACCTACACATACATATGTACATTTCACTCCGAAACCTCTGCCTGATTTGGTCTTGTAGTTTAGTTGGAATTTAATTTATCTACAATGCGGCGATTTTTTGCAGCTTCCATTCTACATCTTTTAGGTGGCAATGTTGGTGGTAGCGGTGGCGGAGGTGGCTCCGCCGGCGGTAACGGTTATGACCATTCCAGCTTGGCCGACGAAATGTCTTCGGCACGCAATCGCAACGGCACCACAAACGCTGGTGGACGACAAAATCAACGATCATTTCTAACGCTCAAACACAGTTATCTTCTGGACGAAGATTCCAGTCCCGATTCGGAACGTCTGCAAAGTCTGGGCGATGTGGACAGCGGTCACAGTACCGCCCACTCGCCCACCGATTTTAAGAGTATGTCACCACAAATCACTTCCCCCGTATCGGAATCACCTGTGCCCCAGCCCTTTGGCGGGGTGCCATTTGCTCAGCTGGAAATGCTCGAGGCAACGCATCGGGGTCTGCACAAGTTCATACCACGTCACAACGATGAGATTGAAATCGAAATTGGGGATCCGGTCTATGTCCAGAAGGAGGCCGATGATTTGTGGTGTGAGGGCGTGAATTTGCGAACCGGTCGCCAGGGTATATTTCCCTCGGCCTATGCCGTGGACTTGGATTACAATGAATTCGATCCGACGGTGCAGCAGGTGAAAAAGGAACGTTATCTGTTGGGTTATTTGGGTTCGGTGGAGACACTGGCCCACAAGGGCACCGGTGTGGTGTGCCAGGCGGTGCGCAAGATTGTGGGCGAGTATGGTAATTCGCCCACAGGGCAAGTGTGTATATTGGAAATATCGGATCAAGGCTTGCGTATGGTAGATCGTTCTACGCCCAATGTAAGTTGGAAAAAAGAGTAGGGGGTGGAAGAAATTTTTAAGTGGTTATCTAATATAAATTCGATTTTCTCTCTCTCTCTCCCGCTCTCTCTCTCTCTCTTGCAGAACAAAAAGGATAAGAAACCTTGCATTGATTATTTTTACTCGCTTAAGAATGTCTCCTTTTGTGCATTTCATCCAAGGGATCATCGTTTTATTGGCTTCATAACCAAACATCCAACTGTGCAGCGTTTTGCTTGTCATGTTTTCAAGGGATCCGAATCGACCAGGCCTGTGGCAGAGGCTGTTGGGTAAGTGCGGAAAAAGTTTATGATTTTGACTCCAAACCGTAACTAATTTCAATTCCTTTTTTCAATTTTTTTCCAGACGTGCTTTCCAACGTTTCTACCAGAAATTTATTGAGACCGCTTACCCCATAGAGGACATTTACATTGAATAAATTAAGGCAGAAAAACGCAAAACCAAACCAACCGAACAACCGTTACTTTTCATATCGTTTCACAGTATTTCTTCGGTATATGAAAAGTCAATACATACATAAAGTATATAATATGTATATGTATATAATAAATATATAGGTACAAAACTTACTTACTTTCAAAACTCCCCCCTCTTTCTCGTAATATGCGTGGACTAGAGTCCCCCCTCTGAGAGATAAATGAAATTAGAAAGACGAAATGAAACTGAGAATAATAAAAGAATGAAAGCCAACACAATTTAATCAAATAAAACCTAAAGACAAGAGCATATTTGAAAGGGATTTAAGAGGCCACATTTGTTGTTGTGTTTTTATTGGGAATTTTCGATCTTCCAACAGAGGTGAAAAAATAACAAGGTAAGAATGTTTTTCAAGGACTAAAATAAACGTGGATCTTTTAAAGAATATTTTTTTAAAGGACCAGAATAAACGTGGATTTTTTAAAGATTTTTTAAGGACCAGAATAAACGTGGATTTTTTAAGGAATATTTTTTCAAGGACCGTCAGATCAATAAACGTGGATTTTTTAGAAACTATTTTTTCAAGGACCAGAATAATTGTGGATTCTTTAAAGAATATTTTTTCAAGGACCAGAAAAAACGTGGATTTTTTAAAGAATATTTTTTAAAGGACCAGAATAAACGTGGATTTTTAAAGAATATTTTTTCAAGGACCAGAATAAACGTGGATTTTTTAAAGAATATTTTTTTCAAGGACCAGAATAAACGTGGATTTTTTAAAGAATATTTTTTTCAAGGACCAGAATAAACGTGGATTTTTTAAAGAATATTTTTTTCAAGGACCAGAATAAACGTGGATTTTTTAAAGAATATTTTTTTCAAGGACCAGAATAAACGTGGATTTTTTAAAGAATATTTTTTCAAGGACCGTCAGATCACTAAACGTGGATTTTTTAAAGAATATTTTTTCAAGGACCGTCAGATCACTAAACGTGGATTTTTTAAAGAATATTTTTTCAAGGACCTTCAGATCACTAAACGTGGATTTTTTAAAGAATATTTTTTCAAGGACCGTCAGATCACTAAACGTGGATTTTTTAAAGAATATTTTTTCAAGGACCGTCAGATCACTAAACGTGGATTTTTTAAAGAATATTTTTTCAAGCAACAAATAAACGTGGATTTTTTAAAGAATATTTTTTCAAGGACCAAAGAACTAATAAACGTGAATTTTTTAAAGAATATTTTTTCAAGGACCAGAATAACGTGGATTTCTTAAAGAATATTTTTTCAAGGACCAGAATAAACGTGGATTTTTTAAAGAATATTTTTTCAAGGACCAGAATAAACGTGGATTTTTTAAAGAATATTTTTTCAAGGACCAGAATAAACGTGGATTTTTTAAAGAATATTTTTTCAAGGACCAGAATAAACGTGGATTTTTTAAAGAATATTTTTTCAAGGACCAGAATAAACGTGGATTTTTTAAAGAATATTTTTTCAAGGACCAGAATAAACGTGGATTTTTTAAAGAATATTTTTTCAAGGACCAAATAAACGTGGATTTTTTAAAGAATATTTTTTCAAGGACCAAATAAACGTGGATTTTTTAAAGAATATTTTTTCAAGGACCTTTAGATCAATAAACGGGGATTTTTTAAAGAATATTTTTTCAAGGACCTTTAGATCAATAAACAGGGATTTTTTGAAGAATATTTTTTTAAGGACCTTTAGATCAATAAACGGGGATTTTTTAAAAAATATTTTTTCAAGGACCTTTAGATCAATAAACGGGGATTTTTTAAAGAATATTTTTTCAAGGACCAAGTAAATATGGATTTTTTAAAGATTTTTTTAAGGACCAAATAAACGTGGATTTAAAAAAAATATTTTCAAAGGATCAATAACATATATATTATTAAGGGATCAATAAACGTGAATTTAAAAAAAAATATATATTATTAAGGGATCAAAAAACGTTGATTTTTAAAACAATATATATATTTTTAAAGGATCAATAAACGTGGATTTTTTTAAGAATATTTTTTTCAAGGACCAGAATAAACGCGGATTTTTTAAGAATATTTTCTCAAGGACCAGAATAAACGTGGATTTTTTAAAGAATATTTTTTCAAGGACCAAAGAACTAATAAACGTGAATTTTTTATGGAATATTTTTTCAAGGACCAAAGAACTAATAAACGTGGATTTTTTAAAGAATATTTTTTCAAGGACCAAAGAACTAATAAACGTGGATTTTTTAAAGAATATTTTTTCAAGGACAAAAGGACTAATAAACGTGGATTTTTTAAGAATTTTTTTTCAAGGATTAAAGGACTAATAAACGTGGATTTTTTAAGAATATTTTTTCAAGGACCAAAGAACTAATAAACGTGGATTTTTTAAAGAATATTTTTTCAAGGACCAAAGAACTAATAAACGTGGATATTTTAAAGAATATTTTTTCAAGGACCAAAGAACTAATAAACGTGGATTTTTATACCCACCACCATACATAGTATCGAGGGTATATTATTGATCAGCGTAAAATTCTAAGACGATTTAACACTGTCCGTCCGTCCGTATGTTGTAATCACGCTAGAATCAACACGAATAAAGATTGGTATCGGTATCTCCGAATATTGGGCATTTTGATGATTTTAGCGAGATTTTTAGCGGAATTTTTTTAAAATTTCGTATTTAAAGTTCGAAATGGGTACTACAACCAATGACAAAAAAAATGTCTATTTAGGTCCACGTCCTCATATAGCCCCAAAATAACCGATTTTCTGATATTTCGTTGATATTAGCCACATTATTCACCTCAATTGTTTTAAATTTCGTATTTTAAATTTGAAATCAGTACTACAGTCTATGACAAAATTTTGCACCACCACGTCTCCGTATATAACGGTTTTCATTGAGGTTTTTTTTTTGCTTCAAAAATCTAAAAACCACCATTAGAAGACGGGAAGTCCCGTTTAAAATCCACTATTAGAGGTCAGAAAATCTAGAATTAGAGATCACCAAATATTATTTAAAAAAAAAATAATGTCCGATAGTCCTTTTTAAGAAATCCACAATAAAAGTTCAAAGTGTCCAACGTTTATGGGTAGGAAAGTCTACAACAATATCCAATATTAGAGAGTCTGTTTATAAAAAATCACGATTAGCAGTCAGAGAGTACGTTAAAAAAAACACACGATTAAAATTCGAATATCACATTTTACAAAATCCACGGTTAGAGGTGACATAGTCCCATTTAAAAATCCACGATGGGGTGTCAGAGAATCCTATTAAAAATCTTCGGCAGGGGGGTCCATTTTAAAATTAACGATTAAATAATCACAAAAAGGACGGTCCCTTTGAAAAATTCAGAATCAGAATCCAAATAATCATTTTTAAAACTGCTGGCTGTCCTATACGGGTGAGATAAAAAAAAAAAACTGTAACCAATTTCAGACTGCTGTCATTTTAAGTCACTCGTCCGACAGCTGTTAAAATTATTCCAGTGACAGCTCACTATATTGTTTACAAGCGTACAAAAGCATTTTGGTGAGAATTTTCAAGAAAAAATGCTATTCGTGATGGAATTCAAGCGTGATAGTGTGATTTCTTTACATTTGGCTGGAAAACCGCAAATGGCTATCGTTAGAGCACTCCAGCATTTAAATGTGAATAAATATTTTGTGTCTCGTACTATCGCTCGTTACCGATTACGTGATACTGGTAGCGTAGCCCGACATATGTCAAGGATGTGCCCGGAAGAAAACAGCAACATGGTTTGAAAAGTAAAGAAGCGATTTGATAGAAACCCGCATCACAGTAACCGAAAAATGGCTCGTGAGCTGAACATATCGCACTACTCCATTCGGCAAATATTGAAAAATGAGCTCGTGGTAAAGCCATTGAAATTCCAAGAAATGCAAGAACTTACACCTCAACAGAAAGAAAATAGACTCAAAAGAGTTAAAGAGTTGCTTCGCTTGGCCGAAAGTGGTGAGCTGCCGAATTTGGAATTTGGTTTTCACCGATGAAAAACATTCGTTGTCCGCAGTTTATAAACAAACAAAATGATCGTGTTTACTTGCCAAAGAGGTCAGCTGAAAATGTGCACCTTCGGTTGGTCACCAGAACTCAAGCGCCGCTCGTATTAATCGACCGTGGCATCAGAATAAATGCCGAATATTATCGCGAAAATATTCTGGAGGGTGTACTAAAGCCTTGGACCGGCAAACATTTTGGCCGCAGACCTTGGACATTACAACAGCACTCAGCACCATCGCACTCAGCACGCGCCACCAAAAAATGATTACAAAATGAGGTTCCTCGCTTCATTTCCAGCGCACAATGACCACCTAAATCTCCTTATACCAATCCGTTGGACTATTGTATCTGGAGTATTTTGGAAAGCAAGGTTGTCACTAAAAAATACCAAAGTGTCGATCACCTCAAGCAAGCGCTTCGCCGAGAATGGGCCAAAATACCACAGAGCAACATTCGGGCAGTGTGTGACGGTTTCATGGGACGTTTGAAGGCCATAATTCGTGCCAAAGGTGACGAATTCGGACAAATCTAAATGTATTCTAAAATTTAATGCTCTTTCCGACATTTTTTGCTTTCATTCATTAAAATTAAAAAAATATATAAAAATTATGGGGCTTGACTTTGTTGCAGTTTTTTTATCTCACCCTGTATGTGTGTATGAAAAAGTAGACCTACATTGAATATTTTTTGCGAGGTGTGTTTAACTACCCATTGAGAGCCGGAAATATTAAATAACAGCTGATTTGGTTGGAGATTGGGATCGAATCTTCAAAATACCATAAATTAGGTATATGGCGATGCTATACCAAAGAGTGGTCTTACATCGTATTTTTCTTTTTTTTTTTTTTTGTGAGACGGTAAACTTCCCATCATTGAACATATGTTGCGAAGAGTTCAAATACCCATGGAGAGCTCGAAATATAAAATTACAGCTATTTTGATTCAAGCATTAAAGCTTCCAAATCGGGTGGTAATGGTGTAATGGTGGTAACAAGCATAAAAAAAAGATAATAAAAAATAAAATAATAACAAGTAAAAAGCAGCTAATTTCGGTCGGGCCGAACTTTTAATACCCTCCACCATTTCGAAGAAACTTGATTTTTTGACATAGGTTTTACTACCAATTAGGATCTTCCACTACGAAATTTGAAACGATTCCGATAATGTCGCTAAAATCATAAAAATACCGAAAATCGGGAGGTATCGTTATATGGGGGGCTATACGAAAACGACATGGACCGATATGGCCCATTTACGAACTTAACCTGTCTACTGGTAAACTATACATG